GGGAGGGGAGACACTCGGTCAAAGTCGAGGACACTTGGCACAACATGCACAAAATGCCAACTCTCCTAGCCTCACATGCTCACGTGAAGAAGCCACAAATGGCTCGGTCAAGACCCATAAACATGCACACATATAAGGACGAAATGCACTAAAATCCACACAACTCCCACGCACAAGAGGACAATGCACGGATACATAGCAAAATGTTGGGAATCTTGGACAAAAACACACTCACAAAAAGCCAAGGAGATGCACGGTCTTAGAGGGCAATGTTGGGCACGGATTAACACATGAGTTTGGAACAAATGCACGGCCACATTACACTTAAGCTCACGGTAAAAATGCACATGGACTTGAACAAAAATATACACTAATACTTGAACTTAGCAATGAGCACGGCAATAACACAAGAACATGGACCGAGTAATGCACGGCATTTACGAACAATGTGCACGGCTATGCACATGAACTCGGAATAAAATCCGAATAATTAGCTAATCTCGTGATTAATGTAAATTAATCACTTAATTATGTTTAATTATCCAATTAAACATAATGCTAAATTACCAAAATTATTTCGGACGTAAACGGTACATCGAAAATAGTTCGGGCAACTTCGACTGAACTGACTGAAATTAATCCATTCCGAAAAATAATATCGGAACTAAAATATTATTATACTGATAAAAAGTCAGGATATTACAATCCTCCCTCCTTACAAAATTTTCGTCCTCGAAAATTCGGAACATAACTGAAAATACATACATGAAAATACACTAAAACTAAAAATCTGGAAAACGAGCGCGAATATCGGACTCCTCCTCCCAAGTCGCTCCGTGGCGATCCCACTGAATGCGCACGAGGGGAATATCTCGCTTTCGGAGCTGACGAACCTGACGGTCTAGAACGGCTACCGGTCGCTCCTCGTACGAAAGATCTGACTGAACCTGAATATCTGAATGAGGAATCACATGATCGGGGTCGCACACGTACTTACGCAACATCGATGCGTGGAATACATTATGAATGCCTGATAACTCGGGAGGTAGAGCTAAACGATACGCGACCTCGCCTACTCGTTCGAGAACCTCGAACGGGCCGATGAATCGAGGGTGCAACTTCCCTCTCTTTCCGAATCGCACAACTCCGCGAATCGGACGAACTCTGAGAAAGGCTGGCTCGCCAACCTCGAACTGAATGTCTCGTCGATGATGATCGGCGGAAGATTTTTGACGACTCTGAGATGTCTTGAGTCTCTGCCGGATCAACTCGACCTGATCTGCTGTCTCTTCGATCAACTGGGGACCTAGTACTCGTCGCTCTCCGATGTCGTCCCAATAGAGAGGGGAACGACACTTGTGACCGTAAAGTGCCTCGTAAGGAGCCATCTGAATAGACGAATGATAGCTGTTGTTATACGCAAACTCTGCGTACGGCAACAACAACTCCCACTTAGCACCCCTGTCGACAACCAAGGCGCGAAGCATATCCTCAAGCGTCTGAATAGTCCTCTCTGACTGACCATCTGTCTCCGGATGGTAGGCTGAACTGAACTCAAGCTTCGTGCCCATCGCCTCATGCAAGCTGTGCCAGAATCGACTGACGATTCTGGGATCTCTGTCTGATACAATCGTGACGGGCACTCCGTGGAGTCGAAAGATCCCACGGGCATATATCTCAGCCAACTTATCTATGGAAATCCTCATTGAAACGGGTAAGAAATTCGCGACCTTAGTCAATCTGTCGACCACGACCCAGATAGCATCGTGATGTTCAGACGACCTCGGCAATCCCGTAACGAAGTCCATCGTGACTTCTTCCCATTTCCACTTCGGAATCGGAAGTGGCTGCAGGAGGCCAATCGGACTCTTATGCTCAGCCTTGACTTGCTGACAGGTTAAACACCTCCTGACGAACTCGGCGACGTCCTTCTTCATGCCTCGCCACCAGAACGACCCCTTCAGGTCGTGATACATCTTCGTGCTCCCGGGATGGGCCAAATATGGTGCGGTATGGGCCTCTGATAAAATCTCCTTCCGCAACGCCTCAACTTTCGGGACCACAATCCTGCCTCTGAACTCTAGGGCACCATCGGCACCTAGCTGAAAACCCTCGACGCCTCCGGCTCGAACCTTGGCCCCCATGACGCGAGCGAACTCGTCAGAAGCCTGTTCTCGCCGGATTCTCTCTCTCAGCGTCGGCTGAAGCTGCATAGCACTGACACTGGCACTGGCACTGGTGCTCCCCGAAACTGCCATGGGAAGCGCATCGATCGCCTGAAGCTGCATCCGGGCAAACTCCTGAATCAGCGGACTCTGCTGAGTAATGACGTACGTCAAATCACCCTTCACCTGACGGCTTAGGGCATCTGCAACGACGTTCGCCTTTCCTGGATGGTACTGAATAGAGCAGTCGTAATCCTTGACGAGCTCTAACCAACGGCGCTGTCTCATGTTGAGCTCCTTCTGAGTAAAGATATACTGTAGGCTCTTATGATCTGTGAATATCTCACAGTGACTGCCGTACAGGTAATGCCGCCAAATCTTGAGAGCATGAATGACTGCTGCTAACTCCAAGTCGTGCGTCGGATAATTCTGCTCATGCGGCTTAAGCTGACGGGACGCATACGCAACGACCTGGCCGTCCTGCATAAGGACACATCCCAAGCCCTGCTTCGAAGCATCACTGAAAATGGTGAAACTCCGAGAAGGATCGGGAATAGTCAACACCGGTGCTGAAGTTAATCTCCTCTTAAGCTCCTGAAAGCTCGACTCACATCTGTCAGTCCACTCGAACTTCACAGACTTCCTCGTCAGCTGGGATAGAGGGAGGGCGATCTTGGAAAAGCCCTCGATGAACCTGCGATAGTATCCAGCTAGACCGAGAAAACTGCGAACCTCGGTCGGACTCCTCGGTGTCGACCAGTTCTTAACAGCTGAAACTTTGGAAGGATCCACCTCGATACCTGCCTGAGTAATCACATGACCCAGAAAGGATACTCGCTGGAGCCAGAACTCGCATTTGGAGAATTTCGCAAACAACTTTTCTCGTCTGAGGGTTTCAAGAACCACCCTCAGATGCTCCTCGTGCTCCTTCTGACTCTTCGAGTAGATAAGGATATCGTCAATAAAGACAATAACAAACTGATCGAGGTAGGAATGGAAGATACGGTTCATGAGGTCCATGAAAACTGCTGGCGCATTGCTGAGACCGAAAGGCATGACAACGAACTCGTAATGGCCGTAACGAGTCCTGAAAGCGGTCTTAGCGATATCTGACTCCTTGATCTTCAGCTGGTGGTAGCCTGATCGCAAATCAATCTTTGAGAACACACAGGCTCCCCTCAGCTGATCAAATAAGTCGTCAATCCTGGGAAGCGGATACTTGTTCTTGATCGTCAACCGGTTAAGATCCCGGTAGTCGATACACATGCGCATGGATCCGTCCTTCTTCTTAACAAAGAGAACGGGTGCTCCCCAAGGTGACACGCTCGGTCGGATGAAACCGAGTCGTAATAGCTCCTGAATCTGCTCTTTAAGCTCCTGCAACTCCTTTGGCGCCATACGATACGGGGCTTTGGATACTGGACCGGCCCCTGGAATTAGGTCTATAATGAACTCCACCTGTCGATTAGGCGGTCCTCCTGGAAGTTTGTCTGGGAATACGTCCACAAACTCTTGAACGACTGGAACATCGTGGGGTGAACGTGCTTTCTAAGAATCATCAACAAGGCTCACCAGATAACCCTGGTGGTTGCCTCGTCGCAGCAACTTAGTGGCTTTCGCCATAGAAACAACATGAGGCAAAGAACGATTTCTGGAGCCGAAGAAAGTAATCGACTCATCTCTCGGAAGATAGAGAGTAATCTCCCGGTCATGGCACTTGATATCTGCATGATAGAAGGATAGCCAATCCATTCCGAGAATCAGGTCGAAGTCCTTCATCTCGAGAACACACGCGTCGGTAGGCAAAACTCGGCCACCGATGGAAAGGCTAAGATCTGAGGCTTTAGCTGAAGTCACTATCTTTCGTCCCGAGGCCAAACTCACCTCGAGAGGATCGATAGCAGAAGCAGCGCGAACTCCGATGGCGTCAAGGCATCGTCGTGAAATGAAGGTATGCGTCGCTCCAGTATCAAACAAAGCAAACACAGGAACATTATTAAGAATAACCATTCCGGACATGGTACCTGGCTGCTGCTCGGCCTCTGCCTGATCGATGGCATAAACCCTGGTCTGCTGTCTGCCCCTCTGCTGCTGCTGCTGGGGCTGCCTCTGTGCCTGCTGACGGGGCTGCTGCTGCTGCGGTGGCGGCTGAGGTTGCTGAGGCTGCTGAGCCTTCTTCGGACAGCGGTTCGCAAAGTGTCCGGCCTCGTGACAGTAGTAGCACACATCCTGACCAAAGCGACACTCGCCTCGGTGTTGACGTCCACATGTCGGGCACTGTGGAACCTGCTGTAGCCTCCGTCGAGCCCTCTTATCTATCTGGGCACCCTTATCCTTCCTCTAGTTGCTCTTGGCCGGCTGGGTAGATGGCAAAGCTGAAATCGGTGGAACTGATGACGACTGAGCACGAACGGCCTCCCTCCTAATGCTAGCATCTACCTCCTGAGCAATGGAGACTGCACGCGCATATGTCTGCGTCCCGTGGCCTACGATGTTATGACGGACTGCTGGGCAAAGTCCGTCAATGAAACGCTGCGCTCGCTGGGCCTCCGTGCGGACCAAATCAGGGACGAAAGCTGCAAGTCTCGTGAACTCCCTCTCGTACTCGTCAACAGTGCGAGTACCCTGCTGGAGCGATAGAAACTGACGCTCCATCTCGGCTCGGTAGTATGTGGGATAGTACTTCTCCAGGACTAAATCCTTGAACGTCTCCCACGTACATCCCGCCTTCTCACCGGGACGCATGCCCCAGTAAGCGTTCCACCAGAGCCTGGCATCCCCGGTGAGCTGAAGCTGAGCGCAAATGACGCGATATCTCTCAGGGCACTCCATGACCTCGAAGATAAACTCCAGACCCTGAATCCACTCGTCAACTACGCGGGGATCTCCCTGCCCTGAGAACTTTTCGGCGTGATAGTCGCGGAACTGGGCGACCACTGTAGCCTGAGTTTGTGCATTCTGAACATTGAGGAGGTTCAAAGTTATTGAATGCAGGAGGATATTCTGACTGATTTCTAAGGCACACAAATCTCTTGACGAGTCGCCAAAAGTGGCCGATAAATACTGACATGAAACCTGAGGAACTCTAGAGTTATATCGGAAGATACTAAAGTCTAGAGTCATATCTGAACATACTGAATTCTAGAGTTATATCTGAACTCTAAAGTCTGAATCTGATTTGAGCATCTTAACTAAGTCTGATTACTGATTTCTGAGCATTGACAAAGTAATATGTTTATAACTGAAAAACTGAATCAGCACTTACCTGGTGTCGGCGAGGTGTGAGCGTGACGGTTCAGGTTTTTTAAAATTATTTGACTGAAAAACTTTTCAGAGACGCAGAAACACGCGCTCTGATACCAAACTGTAACACCCCGCTTCTTGTAATACATCAGAGTGCGCGATTTTTCACAAATTTACTGAATATTTAAAGAAAATACTTATTTTTGCGAAACTGATCGGGATGCTACCGTGAAAACTTGATTTTTCTGAAAACCGTTTAAAATTTAAACTGATAAATAAAAACGGTCATAATGTCTTATCCAACAAACATCGGAACAAAGTCTGATAAAAAGTACTGAAAAGTTTAGCGGAAGTCTAGCGTGGCAAATCATAAGTACAATAAATATAAATGTCCTGAACAGCTCGCCCGCTCACTCCTCGTCTCCGACCCTGCGACCTGAAAAACATGAAAGGTGTGGGGCGTGAGCACTAAGGCACTGTGCTCCGCAGAAACTCATGGTAATGTACAACATCGTAAATAATAACATGATCATGAACTAAAGCATATACAACTGAACTTAATCTGAAACTGATATCTGATAACTGATAACCGGTCTGATCTCGCGACATAAGTCACGTAACTGATAACTGAATCTCGCAACATAAGTCGCTTAACTTATAACTGAAATCTCCCGGCAAAAACTAATACCGAACCATGTGCACACTCTAGAGGCTAGATTAGGCCACTAGAACTCAGAATGGACCGGCGACCATTCCGAGCG